ACCTTGTATTTATGATTACATTGCTACTCAAAATGAAAGTTTAGCAAAACATTCACTAGAAGTAGCAGATCAGTTCATAATGGAGAATACCAATATGGGTAAGAGTTTTTTATAACTTTTTATTTAACAATTATAGAATGATGTAGTTAACAATATAGCACTACAGAAATGACAGTTGGCTAATGTGCATCAATCTAGAAATATTCCTTAAAGTTTACTTTGGGGGCAGTGTGGCTTAGTGCAAGCTGATCATTTAAATTGTTTTAAGTTTGATACTTGACTTTGACATACTAAAATGATTTGTTTTTAATGCTTTTATCTTCTAGAAAGTAAATACTGTTTTAAATACTTAAAATTATGCTTAATTAAATTCATTTCTTTTGTCTACAGCAAATCAAGCACCATTTATTAAGCTAAATCAAACAAACTTTGAAATATATATAAATACTCCTTTTTTCATCAATGTTAGTGGCTATGATATTGATGGGAATGTTACACACTTCATAGTATTAACCAATGTAAATTACACTGTAAAGCAAAAAAATCAAGTTACTTCAACATCTTATGCAACAACCGAATTTATGTTTATGGTTACAAATTTAACTGTAGTAACAATTGGGTAAGTAGGACTACTTCATTTACATTTTGTCTGTCTGTTTGTCTTTTATGCATTACTACACTTTTCATCTGATTGCCATGAAACTTTGTGAAGATTTATGTGGAAAACAAAAATTAAATTTGAGAGGGTCAGCGACCCATTGTGGTAGGATTTTGCACAGTCAAACTGTACTAGGCATATTCTCACCAGCATTCAAAGGAGCCTGTGCACCCTAGGCTCCCACATGAACTCTATGGTACCTACATTCGTTTTAAAGAGTACCATACAATAGGAACACTGTGGGCCAAGAGATTTGATAACTAAACAGAACCAGGAAGTGCACCTCGTGTGATGTGGTAAACAATTGAACCCAATGACTCTCATGACATGTGTTCTACCTCATTATTATGGAGGTTGATTAATTTACCATTAAGACTTTCATATGCCCTTGGGTTTCAGGGCTGTATTGTGGACAAACTCGCATCCCAACAACTATGATCAAACACTTATAGTGCAGACATTATTTACATTTTTCTAACTTAGTTTTAGAAAACATTGATAAGGCATTGATGAAATTCACTTCACAAGTTGCAACATGCTTGTTGGTTAAACTTGGTTACAGCTTTAATTAATATTAAGTTTTACCACAATGCTTATTTTTTAATTTCTGCTGTGGACATTAGTGTTTTCCAGCATTTTGCTAAATATCAGATGGATAATTTGTTTTTTTGGAAATCTGTCTATGAAAAACTAAAAAAAATAACATTTGCTTTTTGTCATCTTTTGTTTTTATGCTGTTTTGTATATTTAAATTAGAATCACTATTATCAAAATGTGTGAGTGTGTATGTATAATAGATTGTTTTTGTCTAAAGTTTTGTTAGGGAATACTATTCATTAAAGATTTTTGCAAAAGTAACACACTTTTACATAACATATTTATTATATATTATTATATATAAACACACATATATATATATATATATATATATATATATATATATATATATATGACTATATATTTACAAATTGGGTCATCCATAAATTACGTCACGCCACACACCCCCCTGAAATTACGTCACACCTCAGCCTATTACCCCACCTCCCACTCAAAATTGCTGTTGAAATTTTCTTAAAACATCGATATTTTTCCAAAATCTTGTCAGAACTCTGTCAACAGATGGTATTTTGATCAAAACCTATTACAATTTATTAAAACATTCTTCTAAAACGCAAAATAACGGCTAAAACTCGTTTTCTAACATTGTTTTTTAATAATGCAAAAAAGTGACGTCACACCATCTGAACCTCCCCCCCCCCCCATTCCCCCTCATCACACATCATCACAAAATTACGGACCCCCCTCCCCCCTACTAGTATGACGTCATTTATGGACGACCCCAATGTAGCAATTAATTGTTTTCCTTAAATTGATAAAGCTAAAATATGATACATTTTCTCCCACAGAATAACAGCTGTTGATGATAGAAACATGCAGTCTGAAGTTATCCCTTTGTCTCTTACTCTCTGTACTGGTTGCAGTAATCAAGGATCATGTAACTTCTCTGTTACCAGACCTACCACATCTCCTTATTTTACCTATGCAACCTGCAACTGTAACTCTAGCCATAGAGGCATGTTGATAGTTTAATATAGAATTACATTTAATTTTTTTTTAAGTGTTACCACATTTAAAAATTTTAAAGCTAGGGCTTTTAAAATATATTGAAGTTGTAATGTTTTGCAGTTGTTTTAGTCTGATTTATTTTAAATAGAATTTGAATAAAACATCTGCATTAGCATAAATAACATTCTTACTTTATAATATTTTTTACAACATAAACATGTAAGTTTGAATAATATTATGCAGTAATTTGTTTGCAAAATTTAAGTTTAAAGTAAACAGATCTCTGTGTATACAGCTTCGCAACTTTTTTTTGTATAATTTTTAATAGGAGTTGATTGTGAAGAAGCTATTGATGGCTGTGCTGATAAGCCCTGCCCATTAGGCTGTACAAATCTTTCAAACAATATAAATCAGGATACTGGAATATTTTATTACTGTGAAAATTGCCCTGTTGGTTTTAATCTTAGCATTGCTAAAACCAAATGTGAAGGTATGATGTTTCCATATTTTTTATTAGTACATTTGTGGTTAATAGAACACAGTAATATTATAGGGTATAATGTAAACTCAGTGTGTTTACTGCATGCATTTGAATAATCAATGGTAATATTTTAAACAATTTAAATGAACACTATAGCATTAAATATGGTAAGGCCTAAGAGCTACACAGTAAAAATGTGGAATACATTTTAATCAAGACAAAAACAAACTACATCTCTTGATGTAAGAGTATGATTATCATTTATCTGCTTTCTATTTTAAATTATATTTTAAAAAAAATGGTTACTTTAAAAACATTAAAAAAAGGTAGACATTGTTTTAAAAACAAGTTATTAGCTATGTAAAACTAATGAATAAAGAACTATAATTTTTACTAAGCCAACATTATTTATAGGATTATATTAAGACTATTATGAAATATATTGTATCAACAGACTTTGATGAATGTCAAACTTCACCATGTGATTCTCATGCTGACTGTGAAAATACTTATGGAAGCTTTTTGTGTCACTGTCAGAATGGTTACCAAAATGTAAACAACAGTTGTGTGGGCGAGTACTTTTTGCATTCAAAAATCAAAATATGATTTTAAAAATATGAAAAAAATTGTTGAAAAATTATAAAGAAACAATACTACACATTTGTCTATAAGCTAATATCTAGAGTAACACATGTTTGGTATCAATTTTTAAACAATTCACTATAAAGGTTCAATAAAGTGCAATATTTTATAATGTAATATTTGATAATATTTATATATTTGTATAATGTGCATTGTAAAATTTCTTTGATATTTAGACATAGATGAGTGTGCTGATAAACTAGATAACTGTGATCAGTTATGTACCAACACTCCAGGAAGTTTTAATTGTTCTTGTTATCCTGGATTTAATAGCTCCAAAAATACATGTATTAAAACAGAAACAGGTGAACATTATTTTTTTTTAAATTTATTTAAATCTTAACATTGATACTATTCATTTATGAAGATACTAAACAAGAGACGAATAATCAAATATTTTAATCTTCACTTTATTTTTAATTTAAAGGTATAAATCAATGTAAATCAGTAAACGCAACATGCAATTATGGCTGCAACAATGACACTCAAGGCTGTTTTTGTAAACATGGATTTATTCTGAAAGAAAATGGCATTGATTGTATAGGTAATTCAAGATTCATAATAATATAATTAGAATCAAGCTTAATGATGTTTTGCTTTTTATTTTGTAACATATTCATTATAATGAGCTTTATACATAACAAAATAATATTTATTTAATTGAATACAGTTTTATACATTCTTGAAGAATTCATTTTGAAATAAGTATTTTGAGGTTACTAATATGTATACTTAAATTTTTATTCATTATCTGTTAATGCAAAATATGTATGTGCAGATGTTGATGAATGTAAGAAAAACATTTGCTCACAAAACTGCAGTAATAGTGAAGGGAGCTTTACTTGTAGCTGTAAGGCTGGTTACAAGATGAACAGTGAACACGCTCACAAGTGTGATGGTAAGTTTGACATTTTTTTTCATAACATCTTTCTTTAAAATCTCTTAATAAAATCTAAACAAACTTTTTATTCAATATTGTTTCTAATGATAATGTAACCCTCACTCAGTGGGGATGCTTTTACCCACTGAGGTGTTGTGGTTAAGACGGGCTGACCCTGAGATTAAGTACACACCGACACCGACAGTTGTTGTCCAGTACTCGCTCTATTTACAGCATCGAGCCATGACGGCGATGCAACACAGTAGTACAAAACAAACTAGCCAAGAAGAAAAATAAAACCGTAGCCCTTCATTAGGTCTACATCTTGGTCACCGTGTCCACAGACAGCAGGCTTGCATGTGCGACACACACGGCTAGGCATGAAACCCACAGTCCCATGTCACATGACATGGGACACAGGTAACATCGCTCATAAAAGCATGAAAAAAACAACTACGTCCACAGAGCCACAGCCCCACAGGGGCCGCAACTCAATGAATTAAAACTTCATATTTTTATCCCCCTTGGCTGGTAACCATATGTGTTACAATAAATAAACATAATTATATGTATCTAAATTGAAATTTCATTTAAGGTTTTTTAATACTTTCCTAACTCTAAATTTATTTAAAAAAACGATACCATTTTTGTCTGTTCTAGCTGCACTTTATTTTTCTATAGCTTGAACCCATACATGTCTCATTACATATTAGAAACCAGTGCTAGTCCTAAAACACATTCAAGTTTTGCGTTGATAATTTTTTTTCTAATAGCATGTCCTGATAATATGTATGGGTTAAACTGTGCCTCACAATGTGAATGTAAGGGCCATGCTCTACGATGTGACAGTATCAAGGGCTGTATCTGCCAAGACAATTGGAAGGGAACAAACTGTGACATTGATGTTGATGAGTGTGCAGAAGCTCCAAACATTTGTCCACCAGATCATTACTGTAAAAATACTAAGGGATCCTACACATGTAACTGTCCTACAGGATTTGAAGATATCAATGGGACTTGCATCAGTAAGAATTATTCATTAATAGAGATAAGCAGTTTATAGACCAATAATTTGGTGTTTGTTTCAACAATATTTTGTACTACTATAAATCATAGGTGAACATTATACTATTCAGGTCTGTAAAATACAGCATTATTGCCATAAATAAGGTTTTTATTTAGTGGCTATAGGATTGTTGTTTAACTTGGTTCATAATTGATAACAGAACTCAAATGGCTACCAGACAAGATATTACAAATGTAATGTAGTTTGGCATTGATTTGGATAGCCATTTGACACCATTATCTGGCCAGTCATATTAAATTAAATGTACAGTAAACACCACATAAAAATATTAATGTCTATGACAACAAACATATATTTAAGATAAAACACAGATACTTATTACCACAAAAAAATTATGTTAGTAGTTTTAACATTTGATTTTATTTATTATTAAATTGGGAATGACAATTTATTTATTGTATATAAAATTTCATCAGCATTAAATATTTTCATTAAATTAACTTTTAAAAATATGCTAATTACTTCAAATGCATTGATAATTAATTATTTCTAATTTCATTTTTAAACACTACTGACTAGAATAGTTCAGTAGATGTTATTTAAATTGTGTATAATCATTTGTTTTTCAGACATTGATGAATGCAACAATATTCTGCTAAATAATTGCTCCCAAAACTGCATTGATGCACCAGGCTCTTTCATTTGTGAATGCTTCAGAGGTTTTACAAAACTTTCTAATGGGACTTGCTTAGGTAATATAAAAAAAACATTGATTTTAAATCGAAGCCCACATTGTAAATCTAGCTATAGTTAAAACACTATAAAATATAAACAAAAACATTTAAAGCTGTAATAAGCCTAAATAAAAAAAACATAACTTCTGAAAAATTGTATCCATCACATTGAAAGTAAATGTTATCAATCTATTAATTAAGAATCTACAATATCTCTACAGATATAGATGAATGTGATAATGGCCAATCTGGCTGTGAGCAGATCTGTTTGAATGTTCCAGGGAGTAGCTACTGTGGTTGTTATCCTGGTTATAGATTAAAGGATGACAGAAAGACATGTGAAAAAGATGGTAATTTTAAAATATAATAAACAAATACTTAGTAAAAAAATCAGCATGTGCAGATACAATAGTATTTATTTTTAAAAAGTTGCTTTAAAAACACTTAAAATAGAAATATTTTTGAAAAAAAAATATGTACTCATTAATTTACTTACAGATTATTAACATAATATTTTAATGTGTGCATCAGCAATAAAAATCTATGTTTGAACTTTATAAACTTTTAAAAGAGAAATTACATTTTAATTTTAGTATGCCATAACTTGTGACCCAACAATTTTATTTTTTCAGCTGTGGATCCTTGCATCAATTTTTACCTTAACTGCAGCCAAGGCTGTACAGATGTAAATGGAACACCTCAATGTTTCTGTCATACTGGCTTCACTCTTAGCACTAATAACTTTGATTGCATTGGTGAGTTTGTACATTATTTAAAATTGACAGTTTTTTAACTATATTGGAGTTTTAAAGAATTAAATAATAAAATATTAATAGGTTTAAGTAACCCTTTTTTATTAACTTTAGTAAAACATTTCTCTGCCTCAACTTGAAATAATTTGAAATATTTGTATCAAAAACAACAAAAAGAATAATCATTTTATTGTTTTAATGAAATTTACGCATTATTTAAAGAATAAAAATAACTATAAACAACATTTTCCTAGAAAATATCCAACCATTCTGTATAAATTAAAAATAAATCACTACTCAAATGTAACGTCTTTTTTTTTAGATGTAAATGAATGCAAATCAGAAAATAACAAGTGTGATGGAAACTGTGTCAATACTATGGGCTCTTACAACTGCTCATGCCCTGTAGGCTATAAACTGCAAAATGATAAATTAAGCTGTCGAGGTAAAATAACTTATATTTAAATGAGAAGTAATTTATGACTGCATAGTGTTTGTTCTCTTTACATGTACTATTCATAGCAGCACAATTATCATAAATGCAGATACTGCATGTTTCCAGCTTTTGCTATTTAAGATTGTAAATATTTTTTCTTACACTGCTATGGTTAATAGTTCTATTTTTATTTTGTCTCTCTTATTTATTTGGAATACATTTTGTTTCTGAAAATATTATATTTAAAGCAATAATATAGTCTAGTATAAGTTTATAATTGTCTATAATTTAAGTAATTTTAGTTGCAAATGATGTTTTCCAAAAAAATTATAATTTTGTAATGTTTAATTTCATCTAGCATGTGATGCTTATCATTGGGGAGATAACTGTGCAACTACATGTAACTGTAGTATACAAGGCACATCAAGTTGTGATGCTGAAATTGGATGTCAGTGTAAAGCAGGCTGGGCTGGGACATGGTGTGAGATTGATCAAGATGAATGTTCTAGTGAAATTTTTCCTTGTCTGCCATTGTCTTCATGTATTAACACACCTGGATCATTTGAATGTCAGTGTAAAGAAGGATATATTGACTTAACTAACCATACATGTACAGGTAATGTGAACATCCTTTTTAACTTTGTATTTCTTTTAAAGGCACATACACATTATTATTAATCACTAATTCTTGAACGTATTTTAATACACCATTTAAGTAAAATTATTAAAATATTTAACCATTTAATTATATTTTAATGAAAAATGCTTCTGAAAAAATTATTTTTGTTTTGTTTATTAAAGATAAAAACATAATTTCTAAGCAATTTAAACACAAATAACTCCCTTGAAATGGTAATAATAATGACTTATTATCAAACTAATTATTCATTCAAGTGTACCGATAGAGTCATAGAAATCTACATTGCTACCATGTGTTTTCAGAATGTTATTATGGAACTAACAGATACAGTTGTAATCAAAATTGCTCATGTAATGTAACAAAGGGTATTTGCTTTGCTGAGAATGGAACATGTGAGTGTCTAAAGGGATGGAAGGACACAGGCTGTAATACTGATATAAATGAATGTAACTACCAAATCAATCCATGTCAGAACAATTCAATCTGTGTTAACACATTGGGATCATATAGATGTGTCTGTGATAAAGGCTTCTTTAAATCAAACCATGGTTGCACTCGTAAGTATTTTACATTTTTATTTTATTTTATTTTTTTATTTTTTTTATTTTTATTTATTCTTCATTTATTTTTTAATTTTCTATTTTGCCCAAATAATATATTAATATTAGAAGCTATTATAAAGAAAGAAAAAAAATTGACATTTTTGAGCAAACATTTATTGACACAGCTAACTGAAAAGCCTTAAGACTTATTGTTTTGTAAATTAAAAATTGAAAATGAAAGTTTTAAAAATTAATTTTAATTATTTTACAATATTTGTTTTAGCTTGTAGTAAAATGAAATTTGGTCAAGACTGCAGTGAAAAGTGTAATTGTGTTCAGCTTCACACTGAGAAATGCAACAATATCAATGGATCTTGTGCATGTAAGCCAGGCTGGACTGGAGTTCATTGTGAGACAGATATTGATGAATGTTTAAACACTAGCTACTGCCAAGATGCACATGATCATTGTTTTAATATAAATGGATCGGCCGAATGTAGATGTGATGAAGGATATGGAAAATCAATTGGCCCACTTTGTGAAGGTGAGATAAGTAATTTTATAATTGTTATTTATCTTACACATCAACTCATGCTTAAGTTAATATTTCTTTTCACACTTTAGTTAATACTTTTAGGCAGTTTAAATTTTTTTTGATCAAACTAAAATTACATCTTAATTCACTGTTTAATTTACACCTCAGTCACATTTTAATTGAAATAAAACCCACTCATTTGACATATGACAAATCAGCCGACAAATGTTTAATTTCATCTAACTATCAAATTTAACATTAGTTGATTAACTAAAGTAGTTTTATTCAAACCTTCCTGTGATTATAATATTTATTGTAAACATTTTACACTTACAGATATAGATGAGTGCCTTGATCCATCTTACCAGTGTGACTTGAAGACTACAACATGTAACAATGCAGAAGGATCATATGAATGTATTTGTAAACCTGGACATTTAACAAAAACAAATGACAAATTTGCTTGTACAGGTGACTTTTTATATGAGCTGATAATTTGATTTTGTACTTTTTAGAGAGTAGGTTGGCATAGCTGAATTCTAGAGAACTTAGACATCAAGATTCCCTGTTTATGTCCAAGACACATGGGGCAAATAAAGTAGAGTTCATCTGTTTCAGTGACCTCTTTATTTTCCTTAATGAGAGTTAGGTACCTATCAGAACTGGGTGAACTCAGGGACATTCTACTGATTTGAAACCGGATTTGGGTTTAGCAGTCTAGTGCTCTACTTCAGTTCAGTTCTAGGGCTTGAGTTAGTAGGCATTTCTGAGTGTACACAGCTCATGGGAGTACCTGACTCAAGTGGAAAGTAAATGTGGCTATACATGTGCAGATCACACAACTCCACACTTTGCTGATATTAAAATTCAGATACCATCAACCCTAAAAAAGAACTACATAATTTTGAGAAAAGCTCTTACACTACTAAAAGTATTATATGAATATAATAATTTAAACATTAAATTATTCTATAAACAATAATAGTATTTGTCTAAAATTGTAACCTTTGTTTTTGTAATTATCTTACAAGATGTCTAAATACATTTATTAACATCTAAACTAAAAAGTTATATAATCAACTGATTTAACCAATGATGTTTCCATACAGTGAACTACATTTCATTCCCTTTGACTGTTCAACTTCAGTACCCCAAAGAGAAAATAAACCCATTCTTGTTTATTTCAACGACGATAGAATCAAAAGCATTATCAAGCAAAATTGCAGATAGTGTAAGTTTTATTTATACAAAACATTTATAGACTAGAAGGTTAATAAGGTTTAACATTATGCTTTGTTTAAATAGTATATTTAAGTTAAGTTTGAATAAAATAATCTTTTAAGCTATTAAAACTTCAAATATCTCTAAGCTCTTGCTATATTTATGTGTTACAATATAGTTATCAGAATTAGTAGCAATTTTGTTGCAATTTTGTGAATCTTTCAAAAGGCATATAATCAATGTTAAATTATAAATAATTCATTTATGGGTTTAAAACAGCCTAAAATGATCTATAAACATTTATTTCAGTTAACTAAATTTGGTAAAGAAAAACTTGGTCAAGCTATTTTGCCTTTCATTATAAATAAACTTGTGTAAGTATTACACAAAATTTGATTTTGTGGTGTAAATACTGTAACATTATATCTTCATTAAAATAAAATATTGTTTTCATTTATAATGTTGACTTATGCCAATACATTATGATAAGTTAAAATGCTATTTTTAAGACAACTTATACCTGTTAAAAATTACTTTTTTCTAAAGAAATGGATCCGTTATTGCCTATACAGAACTACAGGTTGATCAATTGTATAGTAACAGTGACTCAGACCCTGCTTCAACGTTTGCTTATGAACTAAACAAAGCAGGAAATTTGACTATTGGTTCTGAAGTAATTGAAGTACTGGATGTTTCTGTGTGTAACACTTCATGTAAGTCAATAAAATTTGTTCTAATTTATTTTTCTAATGCATTTCAATGAACTCAAGTATATAACTTAATTGAAACACATTTCATTATAAAAAGGTAAGCATTTTAAAAAAAAACTTATTTTCAGTAATTTGTATAGGTTTCGTGTGTGAGCATAAGAATAGTAAAAATAAATGTTATTGTACACAGTTTTTTAAACATTTGAGTTAATAATTAAGGTATTCATGATGATTTGATCCTTCTTAACATGAAAAAATACAAAATATTACAATAATTTAAGATAAAGTTTTACAGCTAATGCGCATACATAGTTTTGTTTTTAATTAGTGAAAACACTACCAAGTTCATGTGAGGTGTACTCTGTCTTGAAGAACTGTTCATCTAGTCCATCATACAAAGAGAACTCAGTAGCATCTTGTAAAATCATAGGTAATTCTTTTAAAATAAATGTAAAAACTTTATCCAGTTTGAATTTGCAAATTTATTTTATACAACATTGTTCTGTTAACAGCTATAAGCAGTCTTTTTGGTTTGTCTACTGTGTGCTTGTTTTGAATTTTTATAGATTTGAAATAATAATTTGAATAAATTATATTGCTAGTCCATTTATAAAATATATATGGGGAAATGTTTAAAATTTACTTAGTGTTAATGGGATGGTGTGGTTTAATGGTAACGTATACTACTGCTAAACCAAAAGTCCCAAGTACAGATCTCAGGCTAGTGTCTCTCAGATCTCCCAGAGACCTCCCAACACTGATGAGTACCTGACTCACATCAGGTAAAGGCAGAGGCATAGAGAGGGGGGGGGGGGCGGGGGTGCAGACCGCACCGGGAGACACCATTTAGGGGGGGGGGGTGACACCAAGGCAAAAAATAGCAATATATATAGAGAAAAACTTGAGGGTGGGTGCAAATCGAAAACTTGAGGGGGGGGGGATGCAAATCAAAAGTTTGAAGGGGGGGCATATTGAAAATTTGAAACTTTGTCCCCGGGAAGCGTCGCTACGCCTCTGGGGGGTGACACCATTAAGTGCTGCACCGGGTGACACCCGACCTCGCTACGCCACTGGGTAGAGGTATTTCTTCAAATGCTAAGGTCAAAGAAATAGGTGAATTTATGTACCTAATTGACCCCCAGTATGAAAGGAAACTATACTTATACTGCTAATATAGTTTATAAGTAGCAAAATACTGTATAATTATGACTGTCTTAGTAATACTCATTATTTCAAATAAAAAATAAAAGCTCAAATATTTTAAGATGCTGAGAAAAATACTGCATTAAAAATTGGATTGTCTGTTGGACTTAGCCTGCTGGTCATCATCACAATAGCTATTGTGGTGCTTGTTATCTTGCGATACAGAAATAGAAGACAAAAACTGGATAAAGAGGAATATATTGAAATTAATCCGTAAGTCTTTGAACTGAATGTGTCATAATAACTTCACTGTAAAAAAATTAAGTCAAGATAGCATATTTTGATTTCTTTAAAAAAAAATATTTATCAAAGAGCTCAGTCAACACATGACTTGTAGTGATTATGAAAAGGACTTAATGTTTATCTGCAATGATTGTATAATTAAAATAATAACATAGGTCTATAACTTTGTAATAATAATGCTGTGATCAAACATAGCTTTATATATTGTCTGCCATGAAAGCACATTCAAGATTCAGTGTTCTAATTTTTGTCTTAAATTTTTTTCTTAGACCACTGCTATCCCCATTACCACAAAAAACTGTATACAAAACAACTGAGGAGAAACATGCTTACAATACACTTGAGATGCAATATACAGATCCTGATGTACATTATCAAATGATACCAACCACATCAGAGGAACAAGGAACTAATTTACCTGACCAAAACACTGATATTAATACATATTATGAAATAGTGAAAGATGCAGAAAATAAGACAGCGGCATTTAGAGAAATGGCTACTTATTCAAACAATGACATTACTCCCAACATTCCACTAAGAAAGAAATCTAATAATAAACCAGCTGAAGATTCAAAAATAACTAACAGTACATACAATGAAATACAGAATAATCAAAATAGTTTAATTGTTATTAATTCAGATATAACCAATAGTACATACAATGAAATACAGAATAATCAAAATAGTGTAAATGATATGAATGCAGGAATAGACAACACTCCATACAATGAAATCCCCATCAATCAAGACCATGAAGTTGTAAACAGCCTAGAAGAGGATAACAGTCCTTATAATGAAATTAATCCTGACGAAGATAGAGGTCACAATCCATACCATCAATTAAATGAATCTGGAACAAATGACTTGGACAAGGAACATGTGAGTAGTACAAATTTGGAAATATACATTTTTAAAGTAGGATCACAATGACTGGTTCAGATTAAATTAGAACTTTTTTAAAAAAAATAAATGTTCAATGTTTAATCTTTAGCTATACTTCAATGACAAGTTTTTGTTTTTTTCATTTTTCCCCCACAGGTTTATGAAAAAATCCAAAAGTGAAGAGTTGAATCTAATCTAGGCTTAACCACATTAGTAATCATTAGTATGATATAATAAACAATGTTTGTAAATCATGTTTCCTTTTTCATTCATACATTAAAATTTACATGGATATTGTTTCCAATACCCCTGTATGAATATGTTACCAGGATGTATAAAACCCCAGCATTTATAGAATACCTTGGCAATTTAGCAATCCATGTTGTTCTTTGAATCACAGAATGAAAATTCCTGATTTTCATAAGATGGGCGAGTCATAGTCTTTCAATCCAGTGATCAGTTTTCTAATTTGATGTCTGGCTTAGTTCTTTCAAGCAATATTATATTCTACACTTTGCCTGTGGTTGTTTAGGTAAATGTATGACCCATTTCCTAAATGGAAATATTTCATTATTCTTGTTTTTTTTTAAAGCAGTATTAAATCAATTTACTCAAGGTGTTCAAATGAGTTTGAATTTAAATTCATGTTTGAGTTATGTTTGCCATTGTAGTTTGCTACAAGTTAAATTATGCATTTGATTGTCATTTTAACTTCTCATGTCCAAAAGTATAAATAGTTCACAATGGTTTAGTCTTTTATATGGTGCCTTTTTTACATGATTAATTCATAGAAAATAGATATTGGCTATATCCTTTTGTTGGAGTTACTAAATGCTTCATTCTAGAACTGTCTTTGGGTTCAATTTCTTGTTCTGTGTGAGGTGAAAGAACATTTGTAAACCTACATTTTCAGACCAACATATTGAAAGAAAACTCACATCAAATATATATTCATAACTTTTAGCATATGCCTGGTTATTTTTCTTTCATTTTATTTATTGCAATATAATCAGTATATTCAACTAAAGTCATGTTGTATTCAATATTTTGTATTTTTAAAATTAAAATGCACATAAAGATTTTGTGAAAATTCCCAAGGTACTTGTTCATTGTTGGTAACAAAACCACTTTCTAATTATATAAGATTTAATTAACTGAACTAAAAAATAAAGATATATCAGACATATACTATTAACATTTTTACTTATTAAGTGTGTACCATTTAGCCTAGTAGTATAAATGGAAATTATTTTTTTTTTAATTTCCCTCTTTCTTTGTATAATTTAACTTCCAGTATCATTCTACAAATATTGAAGTTAGTGTAACTTAAATAACAAAATTGACTGGTGTATTTACCTTATAAACACAACGAATTAGTAGGCTATTTATTTAGTGGCAGAAATCTTAGATGAAAATATGATTGTCTAGCCAGTATCAGCAAAAATATTAATTTGCATTAGTTTGTATCAACATGAAAATAATTGTGCATAAACCAATAGATTAAATTATCTTTACACTTATAATATGTAGTGAAGGGGGATGAATGGGGGTAAATGTTGTTGTTACTTGGTACCCTATCCCATTCGTCCTTGTTCAGTTCTCGTGCTGTGAATTGTAATAGTCCGGTTTGTACCAGTTTATGAAAGGGTATATAAGGTGTATGAAAACGTGTGTGATTGCCTCAGTTTTGTCCAGATCTCCAATGTTAGTACCGGTTAGGTTTATACTAGTTTTTTAGCCACTGTATCTTAGTTTACTGGCTTGTGTATTTTGTGTTTAGACTAGACTGTGTTAAGTGTAAATAGTGTATATACTATTAAATTCTTTTAGTTTTCAATGAGCCTTTGTTTCATTCAGTCTTATTTTGTAACCGTTTGTGGTTGTTTGTCTTATGTGTTGCGCTACGCATCGGATCACCCGGAAGGCGTGTCCGTGTGTTCACAATATAATATATTACGTTTGTTTTGCACAAAAATGTTGTCATTTATATTGAATTTATAAGTGAGAGTGTAAGATTGTGCTTGATATAATTACATAATTGTGGTTTTATTAAAACTGTAATACCAGATGTGTAATATAGAACAGAGATGTAATTATATGGAAATAAATATATTCTAATAACATTCTATTATGTACTTAAATAATTCTGGTACATTATTTTTCCATACATTATTTTTTTAGTTAGAGATCAGAAATTCATTATTTTCCTCAATATTGAAAAGGAAACGCCAGTGCAATTTTTATTTCAAATGTAATGATAGCAGCAGTCTGAGCACCAATATATTCTGAATTTTTTTATGCTTGTTAGCATGAGACTAGATGACATGGTCAAATGATAGAAGATTTGTCTGTTAACATAAATGTCTAGAGTTCAAGTGCTTGGCTAGAGTCCCTGACACCACCATACTCTGATGTGTACCTTATTTATGTTAGAAAAAGTAAAGGCGGACAGGCCTAGTACTAAGCAGACTATCCCTTCATATGCTGAGGTCACAGAAATTGTTGAACTCTACTTTACTTGCTATTTTATTATATATACTCTAGTTATACTCTAGTTAAATGCTACTTCCTACATATTTTCTGTTACTGGTATAATTACATGACAACACTCAATTATTATGCTAGTAGGCAGGCCTATGTTTTTAATTCCATTTCACAAGAGACAAAATCAAATACAAAACATTTAAATCGATTCACAAAACACATTCACTAAGTAATGGCACAAATGCACTTTACTCAGAGAAATGAAAAATGCATAGGCCTATTATAACTATACTAGCCTACTTATCAAGTTGTGAACTAAAGTGTTAACACAAAGGCTACCATGTATCAGTTTTGTGATGCAATTTTTTTAATATCTTTTTTCCTAAACTGTTGTATATTGCAATATGTAGACAACAATTGTAATAATAGTGTGCAGATATTAAAATAAATACCAAAATTAAATATATTTTAAAAACTTTGTGAACAATTTATTGCTAAATATTATTACATATAATATTTACATAAAGTATACTCAATTACTAACCAACAATAATTACAATTTACAAGTTATTAAAATTTATATATTAATTCTAAACATATTATTAACATTGAACCTAACCCAAAATATAAGATAATCATAAGGTTCGGTTAATGAAAGGAAATGGCAAAGGCTATAATGTGGTTAGTAAAACATTTGTTGCAACTATTAATCTAATTTTAACATGGATATTTCACATCATCTATATAAGGAGATATTAATTTTCACTGAATAATAATAAAATTAAATTGATTATACAATTTATTTTTCTAAGATTTAGGATTTATTATGTGCCAAAAGAGTTGTGATAATATTTAAAGTTTTTAAAAATCGTCAGGAAATGGTTTGCCGATATGTCAGTACATCAAGTTTTCATTGTATATAGCTTCACTAAAAGGAGAAAGGACTTGATTAAACTTTAAACATTTAGCAGCTGGATCACTTGCCATCACAGGGGGTAGTTCCATGGACTCATAACTTGAGTCTTCCCTTGCACGCTTTTTATTACTAAAAAAAGAACATATTATTTTAAATGTTAAAAAATACACCAGGCAAAGTATATTAACATACATACATTTTCAGTGAATGTAAGTACTAGTCAATGTAGATTAAAAAAGCACTTCTAAAAATAAAACAATTTTTTACCTTTAAAATTTTAAGCTCTAACTAAAATATATATTTATTTTAAAAAGCCACGATAGTTAAATAAAATTAATAAACAAAATTGTGAATTTTTATAGAAATAATTTTCTTAGGTTTGATTAGGTTGGCCTGTCACCACTCCTGGGACAAATGCCACTGACAAGAGATTGCCAGGCATCTCTGTCCTGTGCTAGTCTTTAGCCTAGTAATTTTTTGACTGAATGATCCCGATTATTTTATAATTACTTACAGGATTTAATAATAAAAAGTAAATGTAAGTACATGATTTACATAAGGCCTATATACTTACTCATTAATAGGCTTTGAATATAGATGGTATTTAGTTAACTCCTTTTGATGAACAATAACATAAACAGCAATAACCACAACAATGATGATAAACACATCCTAGAAGTCCTAGAATTAAGGCCAACCTGTCTGTTAATAAAGAAATTACATCAACTGTAAAATGAGCATGTTTTGATTTTCACAAAGACAAATGTAGCTAAATAAAGTTATTTTAATAAAAAAAAATATTGTCAATTTTTAAAATACCTGTATCCTTTATAATTGTCTTACACTGTGTAAGATTCTGAGTATTTTCGTAACAATTTTCATTGGATGAACATGATTGAGATAACTGAGTGTACAGGTCACAAGTATTTTCTGGAACTAATAATTAACATGAGAATTAGCAGATATTGAAGAAAATAAACAGCTGATAAAACATTTGTTTGCTAGGTAGATCTGCAATTGAAAATATGTTTAGGAATGATTAAGATTGGTTACTTTGTGAAGTGGGGGACTGCATAAAGCGCTAGGTTGTTAACCCATAAGTTTCAAGTTTGAATCAGGTTCAAGGCAATAGAATGTCTCTGTAACCCATGTTAAGGAAAGTAAAGGTGGGCCGGTAAATGGCTGACCTCACCTTCTTTCACATTCCAGATCAAGAAACAAATGAACTCTACTTCATTAGCCCAATGGATCACTAGGTTTATAGAGAATTCTTTACTTTTTTTTAATATGAACTATGTGAATAATGCAAATATTTTAAAGTGTATATATTGCGAAAGGTAGATGAAATAAACACAGCCTTATGCTAATAGAAAAAAAAATTGTTGTAAAATATTTAATTCATTAAACTTAAACTTAAACTTAAACTTGAACTTGAACTTGAACTTGAACTTGAACTCCAGTCGTTTGTCAAGTAGTCTTTCTCAACTGACAATGGAGAATATTACATATCAAATAACCTTGTCTTTCGTCGTTTTCTATCATCTACGGTTTCACCTGCTGAACCATGGTTGGAGAAAAAACAACTATGGGTACTGTTATAACTGGGTTCTATTGTGTCCCGCAGATATGCAATGAGAGGTTTAAACTACTTGATACAATAGAATATCCAGATACCACTACCATTTTATTATATCTTGCCATACAGTAGTTAATTTAGAAAAAGTTTACTTTAACGTATCGTATATAAATGATTCGACAGGACGACCTTATTTAGTGTTTCTATTTATTGCACTATAATATATACATCAAACGACTTGAATAAACTATACTAGACTGGACCACATTACAACATCCCCCTAACATCAATACGAACAAGACTACTTGAAGCTTCTTCCTGGGCAACAACGAACTCACACTAAAACGTCACTTTATTGCGTACCCCGTCACACTTTCACTCGTTCAATATTATAGCTTCGCACCAGCATTCATGCGCACCAATTTGCCTAGTCAAACATGCATCATAACATTACCCCCTCTCCCTTCAAGCTAATCATATTAGCTTTATTAATTACATCAATAATCCAATATTCTGTTTTACCTAACAATAGCAACTATGGTAGCATTCACCTATAGACCTTAAAGTCTAAACAATTTTAATCAATTCTTGAAGTTTCTGTTTAGTTCATCTCTCCACTCACACCAACATATTTTGACAATTCTGCAAAGTATACGTCTCAGATCACCAGTTGGGTATACATCCTACAAACACACTTCACGTTGATTCATCATATAAAAGCCAGGATTCCATACAGTGTCACTCACATCGTAGACCTTAAACATCACATCAGTTCCACTGAAAAGAAATTATTCCTAGGGGAAAACAACATGTCACTACTAATCGGTTATCATTATCTAACATAGTATCTCTAACCTAATGTATTAGACTTATCTAATGTAGTACCTCTTCTGTTAATTACGCTACATTATTTATACAATAAATCACATCTTACGTAATACTTTGGTGCCAAGTAATTAAGTAACCCGTTCAATTTCATAATTCATTAAATCACCTGCGTATATTCATCTCATGTTATAATGACAAGTACCAATAATAATTCTCAGCATCTTCAGTAACCAAATACAATATCCCATAAAGGATTATTTTCCCCAGAACCCTTAAATCCATAACCAGGTACCCGATACATCCTCGAGCTACCCACACAAAAAAAATCTGACTGCATCTTCAGTCTTGAAATCAACTAACTACCGATGAAGCAACCGACCAACGAACTATTCTCCAGCTGGCCGGGTGATGACACCAAATTATCATGAAACAGCAATATCCTAATCTTCTTTGTTCCTTATTCGCTAAGAAAACAAACCTCATGGATAACATATCATCACATATCATAGATTGAAAATCTTATCATTATAACAAATCAAATCCAGATCATAGTGACATTATCATCTTGTCAACAATATAACACCGCCCTCAAACCGGCGTGTCCCCATTAACTATAACAATAGCAATTATCACTAATATTGATGTCTTACTTATCATACTGCGACCACCATCAGCATAACACAGCAATAGGCTCATAACGCCTACAGCCCCTGCTTAATCACTACAATTTTTTGTTCCACTAAGACGTAATAGAAAAAAAATGTATTTGCCAACTACTGAAAAGATAATTGAAGAGGTACTACTTATCTAGCTTGTAGAACTTGCGTATCATCATCGGCTTTATCACACATTTGTAGTTTGTTCTTGGGCGGATAAAGGCTATAGAAGCAAACACATAAAGAAAAGCAGGCTGAATTTGGAGTCAATGGCCTCAACGGCGCATAACAAGTTGACTAGTATCCTTAATTGTGATGGAGGCGTAGTCGAGACGGTTAAAGCTAATGATTGATAAATTCGAAAAAGTCTCGAGTTCAAACCCTCTGGCAGATATGGCTAGATCCCCTACAACACTAAAAATTAAAAACGTAGAAGAAGAACACAATACACACTTCCCACACACATCCACTTGTCCTTCACAACACGGGTCCTCCCAGCACGGTCTTCACGTCAAGGTCCTTACAGCACAGGTCATCAAAGTACATGTTCTCCCAACAGGGTACCTCAAAGCACAGGTCATCAGAGTAAATGTTCTCACCACACGGTTCCTCGCAGCACAGGTCATCAGAGTAAATG